GAAGGAATCTTGGAAAAATGACCTTGGTGTTGATATTACGGAAGAACAATGGGGGGATATTTTAAAGACGGTCCACTCCTCTTCTATATGCGCCAGACATGGCCTTGTGCAGTGTAGAGCTCATTTCACCAATGCTAAATTATAGCCAAATTTTCCCTGATAGAAGTGATGTCTGTCATCGTTGTTAGCAGTCTCCTGCCAATCATCTCCATATGTTCTGGAGTTGTCCCCAATTGAAACATTTCTGGTCCATTGTTTTTGACGCACTTAACAAATCTGTTAACATAAATCTAGACCCTAACCCCTTGACAGAACTTTTGGGTATTTCAGAGAGAGCTGACTTGACTGTTGCATTCGCCAGGTTTTTGTTTTTAAGCCATTCTTATCAAATGGAAACAGGTGATTCCTCCATCACATGGCATAATAAAAACTCGAGAAATTACTTGCAGGATCTCTCAAATCTTTTTACAAGACCTGGAACCCTGTTTTAGACTATATCAATGGCTTACCCTGTTCAGTTGATATCAAATCTAATACACAGTAAATAATTGGAAAGAGGAAATATTGACTCCTTAATGTGAGCTTTTCATTTTTATTTATTTATTTATTTATTTGTTTATTTACTTATTTTTTGCTTTTATCGTAAAGTTGCTCATTTATTACTATTATCTTTTTTTTAAAGAATTTATTTACATTTTTATTTAATTTTTACATTTATTATTATTCATTTATTTATTTTTTCTTTCAGAGGATATGTTTGTTTATAATTCCTATATTTAATTTATTTTATGGGGATAGAGGGAAAAAAAGAAAAATAAGACAATCTGTGATTTTTCCTTTGGATCATGGATGTGCAGCCGACAAATCTGCAGCAACTGCGTAATGCTATCATGGCAATATGGAGCAAAATCTCTGTGGAGTATTTCCAGTAGCTTGTTGAATCGAAGGATTAAGGCAGTTCTGAGGGCAAAAGGGGGTCCAACCTGGGACTAAGGTGTACCTAATAAAGTGGCCAGTTAGTGTATATAATATTAATGTTATATTATTATATTATAATAGTATAATAGTGTTACAAATTATACTCTATTATAAATCATATGCTAATTTATGGATACTTTGTACGTTTTACAGTGCACATTTGTTCCCTCGTCTATCTTGGTTCCTCCTGGAAGTGTCCGGGGCCCCAGAGGGATCACTCATGGGAGATACACCACTGACACCACTGGGAACAAATGGCTGGGCAAACATTTTTTTGTTGGGTTGAAGTGTTGGGATGACTGCATGTGGATCAGGTTACCTCTGAGTCTGTGTAATTCATTCATCTCTCCATTTCCACTCCTCTTTTCCTGCTGACCCAACTCTTCTCTACACCTCATTCATCAGCAGGCTGCACTGTAAATTCACATTCACACTGGCTTTGGCTTTTATTTGTGTGCTTAAGGCCGCAAACTTATCAAACAAAGAGAAGTGTGTGGAGTTGGAGAGTGTTGCATATGCATTCAAGCAGTTTAAAGGGATAGTTCACCCATAAGTTTGATCAATTACTGACCTTTACCTTGTTCCAAACACAAAAGAAGATATTCTGTAAAATGTTGGAAACCTGTAACCATTGACTTTCATAGTATCTGTTTCATACTAGAGTCAATGGTTACCAGAGATAAAAAAAAAAAACATTAAACAAATGGTTGGGTTGGTCAGTATTTGACCCAATGTTGAGGTATTACCAGCATTTTTAGAGTGTACTTCTCATCTGTAAATCAAGTCTTAAGAAATGAATGAATGAATGAACGAATGAATGAGTGATTGAATGAATGAATGAATGAATGAATGAATGAACGAACGAACAAACAAACAAACAAATGAAAGAACGAACGAATGAGTGATTGAATGAATGAATGAATGAATGAATGAACGAACGAATGAATGAATGAATGAATGAATGAACAAACAAACAAACGGACGAACAAATGAACGAATGAATGAATGAACGAATGAGGGATTAAATAAATGTATGAATGAATGAATAAACGAATAAATGAATGAATGAATGAATGAATGAATGAATGAATGAATGAATGAATGAATGAATGAACGAAAGAATGAATGAATGAACAAATGAACGAATTAATGAATGAATAAATGAATGAATGAATGAACGAACAAACGAACGAACGAATGAACGAATGATTGATTGAATGAATGAATGAATGAATGAATGAACAAATGAATGAATGAATGAATGAATGAATGAATGAATGAATGAATGAAGGAAGGAAGGAAGGAAGGAAGGAAGGAAGGAAGGAACGAACGAATGAATGAATAAATGAACGAATGAATGAATGAATGAATGAATGAATGAATGAATGAATGAATGAATGAATGAATGAATGAACGAACGAACGAACGAACGAACGAACGAACGAACGAACGAACGAACGAACGAATGAATGAACAGATGTAGTTATAAAAGGCTAATTGTAAAGGCATTACCTAATACTAACTATACTCTAAGAAAATGCTGGGTTGTTATAACCTAAGGTTTGGTGAAACATGGACAAAGCCAACCATTGGGTTAACAAGAAAGTTCATATAAATTTGATTAAAAGTTTAATAAAACTGTTTAATAATTAAAAAAGTTTAATGAAACTGCCTAAGTTGCATGGAAGGGCTGGAAGGACATTTGCTGAGTAACACATATGCTGGACTAGTTGGCGGTTCATTCCACTGTGGCGACCCCTGATGAATAAAGGGACTAAGCTGAAGGAAAATTAATGAAATAATAAAATAGTTGGGTTTGTCCATATTTGACCCAGAGTTGGGTTACAAAAACATATAATTTTTGTCTGAAGTGTATGTCTGAAGTGTAACACTTGTTATTTTAATTAACTACTCTCTAAAAATGCAGCGTTGTAATAACCAATGGTTGGATCCAATCCAACCATCCAACCAATCATTGGGTTAAAAAGTGTAATAAAAAAAAAGGTTGGATTGGTCAGTATTTGAACCATGTTGGGGTAATGGGTTCATATTTGACCCAAATTTGGGTTACAAAAGGACATCTTTTTTCTAGAGTGTAACGCTTTTTACTTTACCTAACTACTCTCTAGAAATCTGGGTTTTCATAAAACAAGGTTGGGTCAAATATGGACAAACACAACCACTGGGTTCAAAAGTGTAATAAAAGATTGAATAAATTGTTGGGTTGGTCAGTATTTGACCTAACGTTGGGACATCACCACCCAGAGTGTACTTTGGATCTGTAAAACCTTGACAGAATATTATAAATAAATAAATAAATAAATAAACAAATGAATAGTTAAGACATTGCAATAACAGGCTATCCTTAAAGCCATTACAAAATACTAACTGCAATCTAAAAATGCTAGATAACCCAAGGTTGGGTCAAACATGAACAAACCCAACCATTGGGTTAATAAAAAAGGTTATGTACACTTGAACAAAAAATAATAAAATGGTTGGGTTTGTATTTGACCCAACTTTGGGTTACGAAAATGTAGAATTTTTTATTGCAACGCTTGTTACTTTACTTAACTACTTCCTAAAAATTCTGGGTTGTCATAAAACAAGGTTGGGTCAAATATAGACAAACCAAACTACTGGTTCAAAAAGTGTTATAAAAGATTAATAAATAAATAAATAAATAAATAAATAAATAAACGAATGAATGTAGTTATAGCATTGCAATAACGAGTAATTTTCTAGCCAATACACAATACTAACTGCTAGTTGGGTCAGACATGAACAAACCCAAGCATTGGGTCAATAAAAATGTTATGTAAATAAAAAAAAAATTTTGACCCAACTTTGGGTTATGAAAACATAGCATTTTTAGTAAAATTAGTGTGACTTTACCTAACTATCAAAAAGTGCTGGGTTAAAACAATGTTGGGTTAGAAAGTGTAATATAAAAAATGAGCAAATGGTTGGGTTGGACAGTATTAGATTTTGACCTAACATTAGGGTAATATCCCCCAGCATTTTTAGAGTGTACTTTTCATCTTTAAAACTTAAACGGAATGTTAAAAAGTCAGAATGAATGAATGAATGAAGTTGTAACACTGTAATAGATGCTAAGTGTAAAGCCAAATGGAACAAAACTAACTACAATATAGAAATTGCTGGGTTTTCACAACTCAAGGTTGGGTCAAACATTGGCAAACCCAAACTCTACATTAAATGAAAAGGCATTTAAATGTAAATAAACAAATTAACAAAACGGTTGGGGTTGTTCATATTTACGCCCCCAGCATTTGTTAAGTGTATAGAAATGTTTGGTAAAGGCAGTGTTTTGTGAGGAAGATGTCAGGTTTTCTGTCACTCAGAATGAATGAATGAATGTGGGTATAGCATTGCAATAAAAGGGTAATTGTAAAGCCACTACACAATATTATTTAAATTAAAATGCTTTGGGTTACAACAACACAGCATTTTTAGAGTCACAATGAATGAATGAATGAAGGTTTTGCATTGCAATAACATGCTCATTATAATACCATTACACAATAGGCCCTACTAATTACACTATAATTGCTGGGTTGTAATAACCCAAGATTGGGTCACACATGGACAAACTCAACACTCAACACAAAAATACTTGTGCTGCTTATTACTTATTTAAATGAATCAAAAGAACACAATTCCTGAGTGTTTGTGGGATGACTAGATTTACTGTAATCGATTTGTATTGGGAAAATGTGAAGGAATTGTGTGGAACCCAGTATTTTTTACAGTGAACCATAAAAATGTCTGTATTTAATATATATTACAACAATAATTGGGTTGTCCATATGTAACATCTCCCCTAGCATTTTTTAAGTGAATAAAAGTGCATAAAAGCAGTGTGTGAGAGATAGAAGTCATGTTTTCTGTCACTCTCCCGGTGTTTTTGGCATTGTTGAAACAGTTGTCGGGAAAGAGACCCTCCATAATGTTTATAACCCCTCGAGTGTCCGCCAGGTGTTGCTCCGCTCCGCGCGGATCCGCTACTCCGGGCCGCGTTTTCCGGCGCGCCGCTGCAGTCAGACACGCAGCCGGCTCGACGCTCCTGTCTTTCTGCTCCCGGATCGACCTGCACTTTCCGCAGTACCAAACCAGCGGAATTTCCTCAAGTTTACCTCAAAACACTCTGCTTTTAACGGGGAGTGCGGTTAAGCGGTGTTTTCTGCGCTGCGAACGAACGCGCGTGAACCGGACGGGCCAGCGCGGCGACGGGAACGCGCGTGGCTCTGATTTAAACGGGGATTTGATCCGAGTGTTGCACGGACAACTGCTGAAGGGAGAGCAAAAAAGCATGAAATGCTGCTTTTAAATGTGAAGTCTACACTGTTTCCTCTTATTATTCCCTACTCGAGGGCCTAATGGGTTTATCTGGAGCGCGCGGAGCTGAAATCTACCTGGACGCGATGATCCAAGTCTTTGTGCGCTGATTTTTTTTAGAGGTGACTTTATAAACATTGGGTTTACATCGCGTCAGAAACATCTACTAGGACTGTTCTTCTTTAATCTGTGAGTATCATTCATATCTGCCTTTGTGCATGCTTGTTTTTTTTTATTTTAAGTCCACACAGTCTCCATTCTGGGTTTGAGAGAGCATCAAAACTGCAGTGCCTCTTTTTTTCTTCTTAAAAAAAACATCAACAGGATGGATGGAGATATCTTTGTTCGGAGTTGTTGAAGATTTAATATGGTTAAGGTGTGGGTGCGAGCAGGGTCACTCGTGCACTGTTTCAGAAATGTTGATAACACGGCTATTCATCTTAAGAGAGAATTAAGTGCCTTTTTTTCTTTAAAAAGATCAGCACGAGGGCCAGATGTGATATTCATAGGAGGCTATACATCATGCTTATCTGTCCTAGAATTATCTCAGGGAGAAATATGGAGTTCTGTGCTGTAGAAAGTAAATTTAAGAGGGCTAAACTCTGTTTGAAACAGTGCAGTTCTTCACACTGTATTTATATGAGTCAGGGAAAGAAAGAAATGAAAGTATTTACATGCATCACAACTATTTAGTTGGAAAAAATACATCTGACTGTGTCCTGTTTATTTTTTTCTGGATAAATAAGTTATTATTTTATTATTATTTATTTTATTCATTTTATATTACACATCATTTTAATGGTGATTCACAGAATACGTCCTTTAAAATGTCAGAGTTTGTTTTAGAAAATATTTATTGACATTTAAAAGACTATTTAAGTATCACATCCTTATTTTTTATTTTCTTTTAAGCCACTAGCATCTACTCTTTGTAAGTTTTTAAAATATTATTTAGTATAACAATCTGCTCCGCATATGCGAGTTCACCCCTCACAAATGTTTGTTCTTTAAATGAATATCTTCCATAGGAAGCTTTACAATATCATATTTGTGCATATACATTAGATTAATCAGAGCTGAAGCCGAATCTGGAGCTAATCTTACAAAATAACTTAAGAAAACGGTTAAAAAAGTCACTAAAAACATCCAAATTTTTATGTTAGGTAAAAATATTATACAAAAAAAGGTAAAATCAAGAATAACAAGAAATAAATTGTTGACTAAAATATAATTTTAATAATATATGTGTTTAATATATCTGTTTTGTTCAAATGCACCAAAATATATGACCTATATGCACAGAGAAATGGATAAAAATCTGTTATTTTGTACATCTGTTATGTTAAATTAACATTATTTCCCTCTTATTTTGATATTGGAAACATCATTGTATGCACTTTCATGTTTTCTGTGTACATATATACACAATAATTTTGGTGAATTTCCAAATGAAACATGAAGTCCAAAATGAATCCTCTCCCATTTGAGATTGTCATATATATATGTATATGTATATATATATGTATATATATATAGTGCTCAGCATATATGAGTTCACCCCTCACAAATATCTTTTTCTTAATTCATCTTTTCTGTAGGAAGCTTCACAATATTATATTTGTGCATATACTTTGGATTAATAAGTACTAAAGCCAAATCTGGAGCTAATCTAACTAAATAACTTCTGAAAACTGTCCAAAAACTCACCCAAAACACCCAAATTTATATGTTAATTAAAATATTAAATAAAAATTGTAAAAAGAGGAGTAATCAAGAGAAACAAAAGTATATTGTTGACTAAAATATCTTTATATCTGTTTAATAAATCTGTTTTATTCAAATGCACCAAAATATATGACCTATATTCACTGAGAATGGATAAAATTGTTATTTTATACATCTGTTATGTTAAATGAACATTTTGTCCCTCATATTTTCATATTTGAAATATCAGTGTAGACATTTTCATGTTTTCTCTGTATATAAAATCACTTTTGGCTGTTTTTCCAAATGAAATATGAAGTCCATAATGATTTATCTCCTAGTTGAGACTATATATATATATATATATATATATATATATATATATATATATATATATATATATATATATATATATATATATATATATAGTGTTCAGCATATATCAGTTCACCCCTTACTTTTAATTTATTATAATTCTATAGGAAGCTTATCTGTGTAATAATCTGTGTAATAAATCTGTTTTATTCAATTGCACTGAAATATATGACTTATAATAAATGAAAAAGTATTATTTTATACATCTGTTATATTAAATTAGCATTATTTCCATCATATTTTGATATTTGAAATATCAGTTTATACACTTTCATGTTTTCTGTGTACATAAAATCACTTTTGGTAATTTTTCTAAATGAATTATCTCCTATTTGAGAGCTATATATATATATATATATATATATATATATATATATATATATATATATATATATATATATATATATATATATATATATTAAATAGTAAATTGCATAAATTGCAACTTCTTGTATGTAGTAGCTTTATTAAAAGAAAAATAATACAGTTGTACATCAAATACAGTTTGTCAGTCAAAAATCAGCAAAACATGCATACAATTAATCAAAAAACAAATCAGAGATCCTTCAAAATGCATGCTTTTTTTTAATTTAGCACTGTCCAGCGTAATATATTTCACATACAAAGCATTTACATATAATTCAAGACAAATAAATAGCTGTGCTTATTAGAAAATAACCTTATGCAAAAGTTTGTGAACCCCCTTTTATATATATATATATATATATATACTCTCTGGATGATTTTTCAAGGGTTTCATAAACTTTCCCCCGGCACTGTATATGATCTTTTCATTTAACAGTGTTGTTTGTTGGTGTATTTAGAAAGGAAACAGAATCTATTGTGTTTCCCGTCTTCATTGTTTGACTGTAGAAGTCCATGTTCAGCGGCTAAATTAAGATCATTTTACTCCACATGCATTATTCACCGCGCTATGAGCTCGTGTCACAATAGCTCAAGAGAGGCGCGCTCATGGAGAAGACGTTTGTCATGTGAATCTATAGATGCTACTGCTATGCACAATATTTTAGGGGTGCACGATAGTTTTAATGCAATATTTATAGTGATATAAACATAATTTGGCAAGACGACTCTATTTGGAAACAATTCATAATTCTACATAGCTCGGGCTGATTTTGTAAGATCTCGGATTTTGTGCGTCTGCATAAAAACATGCAAAATAACACCACAATATGCTAAATAAAAATAAAACACAGATGAAGTCAATAGAACAGGGGTAAATATGAAATAAGCAGTGGTTTTCTGGAGAGTCTAGCAGTATTGGAGTACAGGAATGCAGTAATCGAATGTAAAATAGCACTGTGTAGTCTTCAATGCATGCATAATTAAACACCAATATCTTTGTTAAAGCCGCATTTCTGTTATAAAGAGATTATGGTTTAAATTGACTTGAAATCTTTTAGTTAGAGCCCTTAATAAAATGCATCTGAATAAAGCGTTTAACTTGGCAATGACTCCAGTGTTTTTTGGTTCCTTATAAGCCTAACTCCGCATTTCAGATCTTGTGATGTGTCTGTTGTATCAAATATTGTGCTGCCCTACTGTGTGTATATATCGTTTCAGCATCGATATTGCAATGTGTTTGTGTGCATCTGCAATAGTCTCAGGATGGCCAGTGTTGGATTATAATTGACCAGGAGCCACAGTTCACAACACACGAGTATTGTGGAGTCACTGCGGAGTTGAAGCATAATGGAGTGAAAGATTGTTATTTGCATGCGTTTGAAGGGCTTGTGACTGTCTGAGCATGCATTTCAAGAGAGTTTATGCTTTATTTACAGGTCTTAAAAACTCGTGCAAAATAAATAAATGATAAAAATGTAGGCACAAGACAATTGTTGAAATATTGTTAAAGTGAGTTATGGCTGAACAATTTATCGATGTTGCAATGTGTGCATCTGCGATAGTCGCATCGGGATTTGAGTATTGATTAAAAGATGATGATATACTTTTGTATTATTGTTTAAAATGATTTACACCATGCTATTTTATGCTTGACAATGTTTGTGTTTGACTGCGCTGTGTATTTAGCTTCTATTTTTGCTCTGTCATACTAATATATGCTTGTAATTTATTATATTTTATGCACATGCACTGCATAAGACTTGATCGTCCCAGTAAATCTGAATGAATGAAATCTTTCCAAACAGAGCTATTCAGAACATCTGGTGAAATTATATTCAATACATCGCCACATATATTGCACCAAAGCGAAATATCGCAATGTCAGATTTTTCAATATCGTGCAGCCCAACAATAAGTGTTCGTTTACATGCAACTCTACCATTAGCTGAATTCTGTTAGGACTCTCTGGAAAATCATAAAGCACTGATTTTATTCTTCTCACTGTAATCTTTGCTCCTTTGTGTTTGTCTGTGCTTTTAATATGTTGGTTTATTGTAATTTATGGCTACAAAATCATTCCAGTTAATCTAAAACCACTGGCTGCTTTCCCCCGAATAGAGCTGTTCAAGTCATTTCTTGAAATTGCATTCATATTGTAATGTGTGTGTGTGTGTGTGTATGTATATGTGTATATATATATATATATATCTATGTGGTCCCACTTTATATTAAGTGTCCTTAACTACTACTATGTACTTACATCAGAACATAAATACAAAGTACTTACTGTGTTTATAATGTATTTGAGAACACTTTTGGTGCTTTTGAGTTGGGATAGAGGTTTTGTTATGGACAGGTTTGGTGGTATGGGTAGGTTTAAGGGTGGATTAAAATGTAAGGGATGGTCAACAGTGTATTTACAAATGTAATTACAAAAGTTAATTACAGATGTAATTACATACATGTATTTAATCAAGCATACATACACAGTAAATACATGTATTTACACAATTAGTACATCGTAACAAACTATTAGTTCCTATGTAAGTACATATTAGTTAAGGCCACTTAATATAAAGTGGGACCAAATATATATATATATATATATATATATATATATATATATATATATATATATATTAGAGATGCACGATACTGGCAAAATCAGATATTGCCATTATTTTATTTTCCTGCAATAAATATTGCGTTATGAATACGCTTTCACTAGGAGTTTAACAGTATTC